GTAAGACTCAGAGGTAAATTGCAATTTTCTTAAAGATTTCAGTTCTGATAGTGTGAGGTGGGTGATGTGTCATTTTTTTTTTAATGAAAGGAACAGAAGGCACATTATGATTTCCTATATAATAATTTCTACAGGATTTTAAGAAATCTCATTTTAGTTTCGTCTGCCTGTTCATTGGCCCTGAAGAGCCACTGTGTAGCTGCACAGCACACGTGTGGGCGTGCACTGCCGTAGGTGTGTTCTGATCCGGGCCAGTACCCATCACCCATCACTTCTGCTGGACTTCTGGGCTTCTGGGCTCCTTACCCCTCAGCTGCGACTGTGCCTCTTTCCCCTCAGCAGTTCTGCGTGCTGGAGGACACCTTCTCCCTTTGCTCGTTGTTGCAGGAGCAGGTGCCTCTGCTTGCACACTTATCATTCCAGCTGTTTCTTGGGACAGCTGTGTTGTGTGGCATCAATCATCGGAGTGCTCAAGGATCTTCAAAGCTGACCTGGTTGACATAACCCAAACTAGTCAGATAGAATGACTGCTAACCTTTCGCAGATTAGTTCAACTCAGCTGTCCAGTTAACTGTCTAGTTTAACTGGTTAGTTTCAGTGTGTAGTATATTGTAAGCTATTGTTGATATTATTGGAATCATGATTCCATTAATTGTAAGCCAACAGACTGCTTTCTTCAATCTTAGATAAATATACGAAGCCCACTGACAAACATAAGAGGAACATTTTAAAACATTTTAAAAAACATTTTAACTGAAATGCAGCAGATGTCTAAAAGCTTTCTCTCCTGTGTGATTGCACAGCCTGTAATATTGTGACACAACACATGTCCTCATTATATATTAATACATCTTTATTTACTAGTAGAGTGCTAGATGGGAGAGTTGACTGCTACCTCGTTGAACATATTACTGTTATAAAGCCACTGAATAGATCCCAGTCCGATTCTCCTGGCTCTGGTGGGGAGAGTTCCTCTGTCACATTGACTCACAGTGCACTCTGGTGAATTCACTCAGTTGATAAGTTCAGTTTAATAAGCATCAAGAGAGTTCTTTAAATTTAACAGAAATTAATAATACGTAAAATAACATTAATGATAGGCAATATTACTGTGGAAAGAAGCAATTTTACATTTATACTGTATTTTCAGAAAGTCATCCTCATCAAAGTTTAAATCTTACAATATTTTATCCCTCAAAATAATGTTAAGTCCATTTGAACTGCATTCCTTTCTTCATATGTTATAAGCTAAGGTATAAGAAGTGAAATCCCATCTTATGATTGAAAGTTATATTTGACTAAGCTTGAAAAACACTGATGTCATCATCCAATTACTGGATGACTGATCTTGTCATTACATCACCTGTTTAAAAATACATGAAACATTATCATTATAAGTTTTTGTTGTGAGTAACACACATAGTACAGTTTCAATTGTGTGGGTAATTATTCAGTTACACTTCCTTTGGTTTGAGGCACTGAAACAAGACAAAAAGGAACAATTCCATTATAAAATACTGTACAGTATTTTTTATATATTTCCTTCCAAAACAGCTCAGCTTACAGAACAGGATTACATGAGGAAAATACATAAATGTAGAACAGGAGAATTTATTACAAATGAGTTACCAAAATGCATTTGCACAGAAACTGATTAAGCCTCATAAGCAATTTCTAATGTAAATACAATGCCTTAGACTGAAACTCAGGAGCAGAAAACTCAACCTTACAGTGATATGAACTTGAGTTTAATAGTCTCTGAACGTGACTCTTAAAAGATTCGGAAATGCCCCACTTTGTCTCCAAGATCCACAAGGAACCCAAACAGTCTTAAAGAAAAATCCCTTTGTGGTGAAATGCAGGTCAACATCATGCACTCTTAGTACTGACAAAGTACTAAGGACATGTAAAGGTGTTTAAACTAGAAACCCAGGTTCTGGGTTCAGTGAAGGCCTAAGTGCAACATTGTAGTATGCATGGAGAGTATTTAATAAAATGTTCAGCTGTGTTCTCAACATAGTCTTTTTTCTTACCACTGATTAAATAATCATGTAATACAACTTAAGAAAAACAAATCTGTATGCAAGCAAACACAATGAATCACTGAGTTAAAGATTCTCATTCCAAGAGAGTGTAGCACATCATATTCCCTCAAACAGATGAAAGAGTGTTTAAAGAAATTGCACAGGAATACAAATGAGGTCAGAGGTTTGACTGACAGGCAGAGAGGGAAGCACAACCTCACCTCAGTATGACAGGGGAGAAAGTCAGCCTGTTAACCTTCACCAGTTCGTTTCACAATAACAATCTGCAGAGAACAGTGCAAACAGTTGTATTTAAAGGACACACAAACACATACAGTACCATGCAGCAGGTCAAAAAAGCAAAAATAACAACATTCATGTTTTGTGTAAAAAACAAACCTCACAACATAAAATTCTGAAAATAATACTTATTCATTCTGAAAATAATGACATATTATTTGTTGTCCAGTGTAAATGGCTTGACTGATGACGTCATTGTCCCTTTCCAAATAAATGTACTGTATACAGTACATCACAGGGTACAAGATCATGGGGATCTGTGATTGTTATCAGCCAATGGGGACTGAGAAGAGAGCTTTAGCTATATCATACACAGTCATATCAGTTTGGAATAAGATTGATTCCCTCTTAAAATCTTTGTAAATAAAAAAAAATAGTTCTGTGTGTAAATCAGAGATCTAAAGGAAAGGCAACACAAGCAGTGATTAGAGAGAACCCTACCAGCTGATATTCACAGGAAACTGCTTTTTATACAAAGTCTTTTAAAAACTTTTTTCACTTGTGAAATAGTTTTCTATCCAAACCAATGCTTTGAAGTTTCACTTGGCTTTGTACAATACCATTCCAGCTGCTGGAACATCAGGATTTTGACCAAGTGCATTGAGAAGTGTTGTCTGGATGAAAACTGGGACAACCTGACTGTCACTTTGTCATGCTGTGTAAGTGCTAATGCTAATCTAGCTTTTCAAGACTGTAAAGAAGCAGCTATGCTTTGAAATTTCCATGTGGCAATGTATGAATAAATACATGTCTTAAAGGTGTTATTTCCTCCTTGCAATACAACACTAAATAAAAGCTTTAGGTGTTTTTCTCATATCCAGAACGAATTTCTTAAACATCAAATTTTACAGTTAAATACAACAATGGATAATTTATACATAAATAAATCAATATTTGCTTAACATTTTAAACCCAAATTTAAAAGCACAAAACATGCTTACTTAATTCATTTTAATGCAGAATTAAACCTTCTGAAAAAAATATACACTGGATTACACTCAAAGCATTTAATTTAGCAGACTTTGCTATGTAGTATTTTTATAATTTGTTAGTTTTCAATCATTTTTTAATTTTTGTGGGTGTGTTTTATACTGTAGAAATTACTGCCTCAGGGCCAATACAGGGCTCAAAAAAAATCAGCAGTTATGAGCCACTATTTTTGCACAACACAGATGTGCTGTCTGATCATGATTAGTGTGCTAAAGCAATTTGGGTCAGATTTTAAATCCTCTCCAGGATTTTGTAAGACCTCAAAACTAGTCTAAAGATTTCTTTAGCACAGGCCAGCAGGTCTCACTTCAGGTTCTGGAGTGCTTCAGCCCTGCAGATCTCATAAGAGGTTAGAATCTCCAGCATGGTGCAGAGGTCCTGCACTTTACATGAGACTCACACTTTCCATTGTAATTGTGCTTTGAATTTAAGTGTGTTGCACAAAGCAAGTGAAAAAAGTTAATATCCCTTTTAGATGCAAACTTTCCTCAGTTTCATTTCAGACTTGAAATTAGCCACAAGCTCCTACTCATTTGTACATTTGAGCCCTTTTCTCAGGTCTTTGACTACCTAGCCCTACTGGGGGAGCACTGTGTATCCTGATTTCTGTCCCAGCCGAGCTGTTAAAAACTGACACAAATTGATACCTTTGATTGATCTACTTGCTTTTTCAATTTTTGTTTTGCTGTTTCTGAACACTGTCTTTGTTTTCAAAAGTATTCTGCTTCAAGGCACTGTTCCAAAATCTTCAGTATACAGAACATTATTCAGTCTTTTCTCAACTCACTTATTTCTGTGTGAATGACTCTTAAAGCATGATCAATTTATGATACACAGACACAGGTACAGTAGGAAGAAATTAGACGAGCCAGCAGAGCCCCAGATAAGACTCAAACCCAGGACTGTGGGGCAGTGAGGCTATTCCAACACACTGCCGGGTTTCAGGTAATCCCAAACTGCTACCAATTTACTCATTATGCTTCCTGTCCCTGATTCTCTTTTTATACTGTTTTCATACTTGTCCACAGATGCAAGTCCAATATACTGTATGGGGGTTCGCTTTTTTATAGTGTCAGCATTCATTACGCTTAATATTTCAAATGTTTGTAATGAAGGTTGGGAGGGATGACAACAACCAAGCTCAATCAGACTGAGCCGTCAGTAATTAGCTGCCACTCCGGATGTGAGTTTCTCTCCTAGACACCATAAATGCTGTAAGTGATCCCCCTCTCTCCCCCACACACGTCTCCTTCATCGCTTCTCTAACCCCTCTTCCCCTCTGCAGCTCTGCCCCTTGGTCACCCCTCACTCTGCAGGGGGGTCCCAGTCTCCTCATCCTCTGGCCAGGAGGCCAGCCCTCAGCTAAGCAGGTTAAGCCAAAATTTCACCAAAACACTCCATAATCCTTTCAGGCACTTTATTCTTTCTGTGTCGTTATTCTTAGTGAAACAGTTCATCTTTAGAGCTATGGGCCTAAAATGATCATTACTATGTTGTTATTGTGGCTGTTGTTTCACTTGTTGTCTTGTGTAGGACAGCTTTCGTCTGGAACAGTGTTATGCTGTCGCATAACGTAATAGAATCCTGCTATTTTTAAACGGCAGGTAATAATTACGCGCAGAAGAGAAAGAAACACAGCTCTTCACTAGAGAACAGCACATTTGCATCGCAGATGCTACATCGTTTTAGTGCATGGTAACGGAGCAGTGTGCTGAGAGATGAAAACCAAATCATAGTCGTACAGAAAATGTGTGTTGAAGTTTGTGCAGTCTCCCATCAAATGCGATTACACGGCGGACAGTTTCCAGGTTAGCTCTTTCAGGGCAGTAGACAACTGCGCATCGCTCTGCCACGCTCGTATTTATTTATGACTGCAGAAAGGTAGACAGGGGAAGCGAATGTTTTCAGGATCCTTTAGATCCTAAATTAACAACTCGGAAATGGCGTGCCATAAAGCAAGGGTCATTAAAAGCACCGCTATACTGATTTTTTGTCTTTTTTTATTTTCGTTACTCATTCTGCTTTGAAATAATGTAATTCTTCAGTTTCAACCTCGGATAAGTGAAAAGCGCGCACAAGACTGTCTTGAACAGGGGACAGTTGGCACGTATTATTGTCACAGTACAGCTCGGTTTTGTAAGAGCCACTGATCTGAATCAATGTTGATATATCTGGAGGCAAATCACGGATACCATGTGTGCTCTGCACACAGCGTCATGTCGGCAAATGCTTAATCCTGCATTATACAGGATCGCTGCTTCAAGTGCTGGCTGCGCACGACAGAGAAAGCGGACAACCTGTTGACTTGATCTGCGCAGACCTCGCCCTCCCTCCATCCGATTCGACCGACTCTGACGGGCTGCCAGCGGAGTTCATTGGGAGCGGAGCTGTCTGCAAGCCTGGGTGCTGAAACACTGGTGCTGTTGATAGCGCTGCGCGGGAATAAGAGCTGTCCTGGGGTTTCTAGTTCTCTGACTGAGCACAGTTCCGATTTTTTTCGGGGTCCCGGTGAGGTCGGCGCTACGCTCCACTGCTGTGTCCCGGGAAGGCGCTCGTCCGCAGCTGGGAGGACCGGATACTTGTAGACGCGTAGTTTGAGTGGGACGTTTGAAAGCCGGCGAGATGGCGTTCATGGTGAAATCCGTGGTCGGCGGTCAGCTGAAGAACCTGACGGGAGGCCTGGGAGGAGGCGAAGAGAAACAGGAAGGCGAGAAGTCTGAGGCGGCCGCCCAGGGAATGACAAGGGAAGAGTTTGAAGAATACCAAAGGCAGCTGGTGGAGGAAAAGTAAGTTCGGAAAACACGCTTGTGTTTATGTGGTGCTTACTATTGGGTCTATGCGACGCCTTCGTTGTAAGTTAGTCGAACGGATAAATAAAACCAGTAAGGAAGTTCTGTTTAATTAGATCATTAAAGTGGTCTTTTTAAACGAATGCCTGTCCCTCTGACATTTATTTGACTCTGAGTGATTCCAATTTCGAGTCCCCTGTGTTTCATTACGATTCGGTAAGGCGCGCTAACAGCTGCTTCACACAGACTGTCGTCTCCCTCTAGCTTTCGCGCTGTTTTTAAGCGACCTAATTTTAGACCAATTCCAAGAATAATAAAAAAAAATATTTCTATGTACGACAAATGTAAGAAAATAGATTATTGAAATGTACTCCGTGCAATCAGTACATGTAGCATACTGTAATTATGCATTGAACCAATTTTGTGGAAAGGTAAAGGTTATTTATATTGTCTAATACAGAAAAGTCAACAGTTCATACATAAAATCATACACTCACTCGCTTTTAATTCTTAGCTGTTCATTTTAAAGTTGAATTCTAATAACACGCTATAGAGATCTTTATGGTAAAACGTTTTCTAACTGCTGACAAATGCATCGCTTTTTAGTATTGATGGGGAATTTTCAAAACCAGAATGTTGTTTTTGCATTGCTACTAATTGTGCTGCTCTGAATATACAGTAGACATACAAAAATGTTAATTATCCCGTGTGGCAATCTCCTCTTCAATCAGATGTATCAAATTATCCATAGCTGAATTAAAAAAGGATGTCTAACAATTAACAATTAACAATTAACCGTGGATTTGACAGTGACTCTCCAGTACTTGAAACTCCACAACAAAAGAAACTCGTTTTAGATGAAAATATACAAAAACTAGTTCAACGTTTAAAATTCTCGATTCCTCTTTAGAATGTAATCGCTCAGGATACAACAATAGCAACACCAATAACAACAACAGTAATAGCAGATGTGGTTGGTTGTTTCTGTTTACCACTTCAATTTGGGACAAAAAAACGGAAATTAAATGAACCGATAGTTTAAACTCAATTACATAAAGTACTACTTATAACCGCACCCGATTCTAATGTATTACTTCCCGCGTTGGACAGCAGGAAATACAGGAGTCGAGCGGAGACCACTCAGCGGCTCACGGTCTGTTTTTGCTGGAGTCCGGAGATTTGTTCATAGCATTTTAATTACAATCCTGATCCCTTAATCCGCTTTGGTTGTGGAGATGCGGGATTGCTTTTTCATTGTAGAACATTGCACACATTCGTGAATGCCCTACATTTACGATGAGCCAAAAAGGGAACCGGGTCTGCTTGTATTCGTTTTGATACCCAATTATCGGACAAAGCAGCCGTCTGCTGAGTTCAAAACCAGCCCAGTTCCTCAAGCGAACACTGCTGAAACACGACTGTTCGTCTCGTTGGGACAAAGACCGTCCACCCACTCCTTGTGATTCGGTAGCTCCATTTATATCGAAGCTTTTAAGTTAAACACACAGGAGCAGTCAGGAAGAAAGTGTTTTTGTTTCAGTTTGAGCGTATGTTTATTAAGCCCTGCCAGGAAAACTCAGAAACGTATAACTGGCTACGAAACATCTTTAGCTGCTTTGTGTTCCATTTGTTTGCGCAATGTATAAACACTTTTTTACACACCTCACGCAAAGACTTCAAAATACTTTATATGAACAACACTTTATATGAACAAAATAATTTACACAACTGGGCGTGAAGCAAAATTACCTTTTAAACAGAACAGCTCTAAATTTGTGTACACGCGGCATCTTAATCGAATCTGTGCAAACTGGTTTAGTTTGCCTTCAGTGTTTACTACTAAACTGTTTACATTCGCTAAGAATAAGTCAGAAGCTGTGCTTTCTCTCCGCGGTTCCCCCCTCCTGATGTATAAAAGGACCATTAATTAAAGCGGGAACATTATGGTTTAAACAAGTCTTTGTTTTGCAAAGCACAGAACTTCTGTACATCTACTGTACCGCGGCGCGCAGGCTGTCCAGATCCGACACAAAGGCTGCAAAACCTGCAACGCGCAGAGAGCGGAAGATCCACAATAACAATTCTGTAATAAAATGAACTTGTTACCTTGTATTCAGTTTTGCCCTTTAAATGGTACAGTACGACTGTAATGTTAATCTCCGGTGACTGGTGTTGTGTGACGATGACACGTTGAACTAAATATGTGAAATATAAAAGCAATATAATCACAAGGGGAAGAAACAAACAGAATTAACGGAACGGAAAGCAACCGTAACGTTTCAATTTATATATATATATCATTTCTATGGGAATTTCGAGTGAGAATATCGAAAGATTGGCTGTACATAATGAATCTCTGAGCTCCTGTCTTGGGAACACAATGGTCACAACTAGCACCTGGAAAGTCACGGCAATGCGCTCGGCAGTCTCTCGGGAGACTTCATGCCTTCACCCGAACTCACCCTGTCCAGGCTTCAGTATACAGCAGTACCCTGGTTTCGTACAGATGGAGTGGTTGTGACTTGGATCATCTAAGAGATTAGTTACTGCATCGCAACGAGTTCATCTTGAACCCAGAACTCGTGGCATGTTTCGCATGCATCTAAAGCTTTAAAATTGGAAATTCGCATGTATGACAGAAAAGCACAAGCTGTTTTTCTGAAAACAGTATATATCTGAACATGTGTCGTTCGTCCTCAGTAATTGTCCTTTTATTCCACACAGGCTGTTAAATGTAGCACTTGATTATCGTTTGCTTAAATGCATCTGCTGTGACAGAAGTCTGATGTACAAGAACAGAATTAAAGCATTAACCATCAGAGAAGATAAACTAAAACTAATACGAAAAACAATGAACCCGAACTGAATTTAGATCCAATGTGGGCTATGAGCGTACATAAGACAAGTAGATTCTGTTTACAAACTATGAAGTTTACTGCTGGAAACCGCATTGGCAGAGTAACTCTCCGTCCACACTGATTCTCTGCTGTCTATTTGGACGATGGCCCAGCAGTTACTACAGTAGGATATTCACAAGCAAAGCTTGGGGGCACAATCTGAGCATTTATCAGACAAAGCCTGCTTATGGCTGTTTAGAGAGCTGCGGGGTCAGTATTGTGGAATCTGACTCTCTCATGTTTTTATGTGCTTAAGTGCAATGGGGGTTATGTCCTGTACTGGTTTGTAGAAAAATAAATAACATGAAAAATGTCTGCCCTCTGCTGGCTGGATAAGAGGTGACAGTATGATTTTAACACTGCTGGTCTTGAGTTATTTGCACAGCAAGATAAATGTAACATTTTGAAAGAGGACTTCAGTATCTACAATTTATACCAGAAATGGTTTTGCTTTTGTTAAAAGGAATAGGAAAAGTTAAAGGACAAGTTTAAAGGAATTTGAAATCTTGTCATTGAGGACACCAGCACACTCAGCGCCAGCTGGCCAAATGCGAGACTCACTTGTTTATCATATTTTAAATGTTCTATCCTTTGCTTTCCGCCCCATTCTGGGATCTTAGATCTAACATGCTGGACTCCTCTCAGGGAAGACTGCCTCTTCCTTCTCAGTGTCTTCCTCAGCTCCACAGACAGCCAGCACTGTGCTTTCTTATATTCTTCTGCAATCTGTCAAGCGGCAGGCACTAACAAGCTCAACTCCATGTCACACATTTGAAGTATTCACTAAAATAATAATTAACTTAACAGCAAAGCATTAAATCCAGCTTAACCCTGAACCCCTTGTTTTTAACCTTCACTTTAATAAATACTACAGGACATCTCTTCCATCTTCATCTCCTCTTTTCCCCCCATCGCTAATGCTACTGGCTGATCCTGTTTGGCCAGGGTCACTGCTCTATAATCAACTCCTGCACCCCTGACGCAGCAGTAGCCCCTTCCTCATCACACCCTCCAAGACTGCCTGCCTGTCTGCTGATATTATGACACAGAGAGAAGAATTCAGCCTGTGCCATCGGGACTCTTACCTGCCTATCAACCTGACACACCTCAGTACAGATATTGGCGGTGTTTTCTTGATTATGCCAAACTTGCTGAGTCTCACAGGCCTATAAGCCAACACAGTCCATTATTCATGAGGACTCGCCAGAACACAGTGTAGCGGAGCTCGTTCTGATACGGTGACGTCAGCGCCCTCCCTGCGCGCAGCAGGGACCTCAGCTGCCTGGGCTGAGGGAGGTCTCCTTTAGCTCATGGGGCTGGTTCCCTGTTGCATTACTCCGGAGACCCGGGTTCGCGCCCCAGGTGCTGCGGGACGAAACCGGGTGGCGGAGGGCACGCAGAACCGCGATGGTCACAACAGCTCTCATTCACCATGACCTTACAGCCCGGTCTAAATACAATCAGAAGCCCCTTTCCTCCTCGTTGGTCTTATAAAACAAATCAATTAGCTGAGAACTGTGGCCACTTCTGCACAGAGCCTATCCGACCAGCTCATTTTCATCACTTCCCTCCAAATGCTAATTACTCGTCCAGACGCAGCTGTGCCTCATGCTTCAGGTTCTCTCAATTAGCTGGTGGCCATCCTGACCCCTCACTGCACTGGCTACATGACAGCTGGGGTCTTTGTACCAGTAGAGGAAGTTGCTGCATGAATCTATTCTCAAAGACACATTCTCAAAGAAGTGTGATATTAATAGTAAAACACGTACTTGCTTAAAACACATGGTATGAAAAACGAAAGAAGCATCTAATTTGACACAAACATTTATTTTTTTTCCACACTGTTTAAAATAAAAGGCAGTGCAATAACATCTTGCAAATGTGTGACCAGGTTTCAGGATAAGCTTCATAGTGCCATAGTCCACATTAGTAACACTCAACTTGTCTCTGTCTGGTCACTATCGATATTTTCAAATGTGTGCTGTGGCTGTGTGACGCTGCCAGCCTTCCTGGACTCTTTAAACATGTGGTTCAAAGGCTGGGCTCTAGAAGGGAGAAGGGTTGCATTCTCTAATCATTTAATGTATTGTATTTTGTTGAATACAATACATTTTGTTAAAAAAACAAAGGTATTTTACAGCTGATGGAAAAAGGGCATGTAATTCAAAATACCTTTAAAACATTCTGAAGCCTGGAGACAATTGTTATAGACATCCAGTTAATGAAATAATTAAATCAGTCAAGTTAATGGCCAGTGTCACCATGTTAATAATATCAGCTGTCACAGTGTTAAAGAAAGAGTTTAGGAATGAGGGGAAATATGTCTGTTTTCATTAGGCATTAGTTCTGAGCTAGTTTTGGCCATTTATTACAGGGATGTGTTCCTAGGCACAAGGACTCCACAGTGTTTCTGTACTTTTAATTACACAAAATACAGATTTACAGAAATATTTATTATTTTCTGGTGGAAAAGGCCTGGTACAGAACCAGGTGTCTGTCAGGTAACTAAGAGTTCACTGAAAAGCAAACTGGTTGACTTAGGCATCCTTCCTGAACTGAGTTTTAATATGAGCTTCTGTTTTAAACAGTTCTGTGTAGGAGCATTACATTTCTTGACTGAATCTTCAAAATCTTGGACTGAATGTGGGAGAAACAATGGTGATAGATCATAAAGTTTTCCAGTTATGCAACTGTTTGAATTCCAAGACAAGAATCAACATGAATATGTCACATTCACCCCCCAAATTAAAAGGGAATACACATTGTGAGATACATGTGTTAGAAGCACATGTATCTCACAATGTACAACCTGTCTCTAACAAAGATCTTCAGTGTTCAAGACTCATATCATGGCATACAAGGTTATTCATAAATATTATTGAATTATTTCATATCGATATTCAGTACATTTCTATTCCAATCAGCCTGAAATTTCCATACAAGCCTGTTTTTAAGCATTACGGTCAGATTTGTCACGAGGGCTAAAATAAATTCTCAGAAGACAGCCAGGCCATCCTGAGAGTGGCACAGTTCCCAAACCCAGTCATGTTGACTTAGTGGTGATTGGATAAAACACCTGCTCCCTGTTCCAGCGCCCTTTTCAGTTCCCCTTAAAAGCCTGATGCTGACTCCTGTTCCTGTTCCTGTTCCTGTTCCCGTGCTGGTCCCGTCCGGGTTCCTGTTTTTAACCCCGTTTGTCTTGGATGGACCGCCCGGCTTTGGACTTTTGCCCCCTTTTGGATTCTCCCTTGGACTCAGTTCTGGATTGTTTGCCTCGGCCACACTCCCCCAATCACCATTTTTATTCCCGACTCCCGTATTCTTTTTCCCCGTGTTTTCCCCACTCTACCCCGGATCATGTTGTCTGCATAGGGTCCTGAAAGAACACTTTCGTTACAGTAAGAAGTGTCCATTATTTGGAAATGCACATGCAACTGCTCTCAGTGCCCTCTCTTCCCTCTGGCCCTCTTCATAGCGCTGACCTTGAGGTTAACCTTATGAGCGCATGTCAGTTCAATCTAGAATTTGAACCTTATCTGTTTACAAAATGAAACAATATACCTTTTATACAGAAATTATCCATTTAGAAACTTGGCAGTTTGGGAGAAGAAAGAGGTGCCACTCATTTTGGCAATCAGTTTGAGAATATTTACTCTGAACAGCATGGCACTGTGTCAGACTGAAAGCTACAGTAAGAACAATCCTAATTCGTCCTTCAGATGAGACGTAAAACTGAGGTCCTGACTCTCCGTGGTCATTAAAAATCCCAGGGCGTTTCTCAAAAAGAGTAGGGATGTAACCCTGGCGTCCTGGCCAAATTTCCCATTGACCTTTATCAATCATGGCTTCCTACTACTCCCCATCTATGAATTGGCTTCATTACTCTGCTCTCCTCCTCACTGATAGCTGATGTGTGATGTTCTGGTGCACTATGGCTGCCGTCGCATCATCCAGGTGGGGCTGCACATTGGTGATGGTGGAGGGGATCCCCATTACCTGTGAGTGCCAGTAGTGATGTTCTTGAAAGACCAACGCTGAATGCACTGCAGAGTGCAGGATCGAGGGCCAGGAGGTTGCAGATATCCACTCTGGAACAGAACCTCCAGGGTCTGGGGGGGTTATCATTGAATGTTGCATAAAAGGCTTATTAGCAATAGTGTTTAAACATTTTTTTTTTCCAAAAAACTAATATGTACAAGACTGAACAAATGTCTTACTCCTCACTTTGAAAATGTATTTTCTTGTTCAGTAGCACTGCATTGCTGCTGTGAATCTGGACATCCTGCCATTCGGGCTTCAGCTGTCTGTGTGCTTTTCTTGGGACCTCCTCTTAATTGGAACCACTGGATCCTCAAATTACTTTTTCTAATATAATTATCACAGTTATTTAGAATAAAAATGTTATCATTCATCCATACATCCCAACATTCATTATTATGGTTGCTGTTGTTGTTGTTGTTGTTGTTGTTGTTGTTGTTGTTATAAAAATTGAGAGAGGGGGTTGTCGGAAATTGAGATAGGTCCAGATTGAAACAAGAGCCCTGCACTTATTTAAAGATGCTAAAAAGGTCCTGTTTCAGGTTTTTCATGCTTCAGGCTAGTCAGCCTCAGGCTGTTGCCAGCGCAGTTACGCACAGGGTTTTCTCAGTTCTTGCCAACAAACAGTGTGGCAGAAGGCAGCTGTCAGCCAGGCTCCCAGCTCAGACTGCTCCCAGGGAGCCGAGACGCTGCTGTGTGAGGAGCTGCTGCAGCTCTTGTGCTCAGGTCTGTGTGACAGCAGCTCACTGTCTGCAGATCACTCAGGGCAAGGGTATTTATAGTGCTGTTTACCTTCGGGTGGCCTAGATGAATTGCAGAAAGTTTTATGTTTGAGTGAACTTTCAGATGCAACGTTAGCATTAGAAGCCCCACAGCTGCCATTTAGTTTTTAAAATCAATTTTCTGCTGCCATGTGACTCATATGGAGCTCACTGTGTCTTATTGAGAACATACTGTACATTCTCACATGTGCATGAAACATAGTATGCAACATAAAATATGTATTACATTCTGATTAAATAACTAGATTTGAATTAAATTCTAATTTAATCTAATTTAATTCTCATTAAAATTCCAGATCGCAGTAAAAAGTTCAGTCACACTGAAAACAAATGTATGCAGACAAAAAGTCTTAGATTGGTCTGGACAGTCTGCACCAGTGATGTGATCAGTCCACTGGAAGAGGTGGATGTATTTCCAGCTGTTGTGGAGAGTATCTGAAAGACTTTGCCCCCAAGGAGCTTGTGGTCAACTATATGGGGACCTGCCTTTGTTCATAAATGATGGGCTGGATGTCACGACTATAGTCCCCCCTCCTTAAGGGTGCTCCAGCCCTTTCACTAAAGACTTCATTCTCTGCACCTGTTTCCCATTCCCTGCCCACCTTAAAAGCCAGGCGCTGACGCTCTTCCGGGCTCTGCTCTGATTTCCATATCGTGCGAGTCCGGGACCAGGAAGCGCCTGGTCCCGTTCCCCGTTCCCCGTTCCCCGTTCCCCGTTCCCCGTTCCCCGTTCCCCGTCCGACGGTTCCGACCCAGCCTTCGTGGTTTTAATTCCGAGTTCTGATGGATCTCCTGGTTTTGGACTTACCTTCGTGTTTTGGATACTCTAAGGATTACTCTTTGGGATTGTTCGCCTCGGCCACACCTCCCCCGTGCACCAGCGCACCTTGGACACGCCCCCCTGTCTTCAACCCCGTTTTCCTGCATGACGTTTCCCCAGTGTTCCCCCACTCCGTCGGATTGTGTCATCCGCATAGGGTCCGGAAAGAACTGTTCGTTACACTGGACCTCTTTGCATCATGAAGTTTTTACACACTGAAATGAGAATGACCAGAAGTGTAAGCCTTCAAAACAATAAATCTGCCCTTAAATGTGAGATGTTGAGAGCTACACATGACATTCTTCCTACAAACCTGTGAAATTGACATGACATTTTTTCACACATCCCTCCCCCTCCTCTTTGTTGGGTCCACTTGGGGAACCTCTATGCTTGATTAATAAACAAGCTGTAAAAACGTTTTAAGATCTGTCAGTAAGAGACACTGGTTTTTTCTTTAACTGGGGGATATAAAATCACAAATCTAGGTACTAAAATATATTTCAGGTAAAAGCAGAAATACAGTATGTAGCATTTCTGTTACCCATTTCATGACCTCTCCCCTTGATAAGGTCAGTTAAATTTTTCTAACCCCCCATTTGTAATAATAGATAGTTCAATATATAATATTTCTTATGTTGTCACTGTTCTCATGTTTGATATGATTTGCCAAAAAAGTCATCAGGAAAAAGAAATAGAAGTCAAAAAAATATTCAACAGGGGACACCTTTAAAATTAAATGATGGTCTTCCTTGTGTCGTTATTATTATTTTACAACTATACTGATGCAAATTTTGAAAGCTAATAAATTCATAACTACTATGACTTCCAAGTTATAGGCTAGTAAATATAAGCCAATAATACATGTTTCAGGATGCTGCTGTCAATAGCAGTGTTAGTTCTGACTAGTGATTCATAAGGATATCCAAACTGGCTCTGCAGTTTCTAGCACATATCTTGCAGGAGTTTGTGCAAGAATATTGTAGGAATTCATCTCATCGTGTGAGATGATGTATCTCCCCTGAGACTGCAATGGACTACTGTTCACATTCACTTCTAGTCCCATACTCTGAGCACAGCATTGCAGCACCTGGAAGCACACTCATGGATACTGTGTACTGGAGTTTGTCCCGTTCTTTCTTCCAGGATGGAGCGGGATGCTAATTTTGCACAGAAGAAGGCAGAGCGTGCCACTGTGAGGACCCATTTTAGGGAAAAGTACAGGCTTCCAAAGGTAAGACTTACTGCGCCTGTGACGGCCTGGAAATTATGTATTATACTGCACAGGTGTAAAGGCTCTATACACAGAGAGGGCCCTTCTGTTTGAGAATCTCAAACAGAAGCGACTGGGGGCTGTTGTTTTATAGGCCCTACAATTCAATTCTGGTTCACACAGCGCTTCTTATAAAATGAAGGAAGGAAGGAACTCCCACACCATTAGCAGATAATGAGTAGTGCCTGCCTTGAACACAGCACTAAGGAACTATGAGGTACTCTGGGCCAGGAAATAATGAGGCACAGTTTTGGGATGAAGACATTGGTAGAATAGGTCGTCTAGATACTTATTAAGGGTCTGTTCCCTCAGTCTCTATTCACTCTCATTTCTTATCTTGGCAAAACCTGAAATTAAAAGTATACACAGTCCATATACGCACACCCTCGGTCAAGAAGAAAAAGCAGCAAGATGAATTAGGTACTAACTACAAATGGCCTAGATGGGTGAAATGGACCTTTCTTGTTTGGAGCCTTTCTTATTCTCAGGTGTTCTAACAGTACCTCTTAGCAGAGGGCATGTGTGTTACAGGATTGTCCTTTCTGCTCAGTCAGCACATTGGTGAGGACTGTGGATCTACTCCTGCTGGGGCCCAGCTTGCCCTAGTGCTCTGTCTGAGAGAGGTCCGGTATACCAGCCTCGCTATGTGCCACATCTCTCCTGTCCTCAGAGTGAACTGGATGAAACTCAGATCCAGCTGGCTGGGGAGGAGGTGGAGCTGCCGAAGGAGCTGGCCAAGATGATCGAGCAGGACAACGAGGAAGAGGAGGAGAAGGACTCGGTCATCGGTCATCTGGCCAACATCCAGAACATGGATCTGGACCAGTTGAAAGACAAGGCCCAGGCTACACTGGAGGACCTCAAACAGACAGCAGAGAAGTGTAGTGTCATGTGACCAGTCACTCAGATCAAATGTTTGCTCACACACTTCAGATCACAATGACATGCAACTTGCGGGACAATCAACATACACAGACAAACGACTAAAGTCAAACACACTCAAACACACTTCATATCAAGAAAAGAAAGTAATGCACAGACTGACAGTTTAAACAAATGCATGTCACAGACAAGCACACACACCACTGATCTAACAGGCAAGAATGCAGACAGACTCACGCAGACAAGTTCACAGGGAAAGCCAACAGGATGATAGACAAGGGTGACAATACAGGAGCAAACAAGGTGCAAGAGGAAACCGTTTAGGAAGATGTGCACGTCAAGTGTCAGATACAGAAGAGAAAGCACACAGTCGCACCTGCACAGACAGACACAGAGCAAGGCAGGCCATTTCAAAGGAATTTAATTCCTTCCCAACTATTATTTCTTAATGTTTAATAAAAATTAAAGAAAACAAATCTGGTAAAAACACTGTGCAGGCTCCCAGCTGGTTCAGCTGACAAAGGCGCTTGTTCAAGTAAACACTGAGGTTAATGATAAATATGTTCCAGGTGTGAACCAGGATTGTGCCACCAGCAGACTCTCACCGTGGTCCCACAAAGCAATTGGCTGAGTGCCCCCAAGAGTAGTGTGGCATTAGTTTTCCAGAACTGTTTTGGCTCTCTTTTTTTCAAGCACTCAAGCACTCAAGAACAGAAGGCCATGAATGTCTCACTAGAATGGAGATCTGTTTGCATACAGGACAGTCATTTACAGTAAGTTCTTCATTATTATGCAAAGAGAAAAGTGACACAAATTCAATACTTGAGCTCCTCTAGACTCTGTAACTCTGTCTTACACTGCCTACTATCATCTTTAAGACAGATTAAACCCAGGCTTTGATTGATATGCAACATTTTCATCCTCAAATGCAACAGTTCTTTTTGTCAATGGCTTCATACCACCCTATCACCAGGCAGATTTCCTGTTGAATTTATTTCAGGAATCCTACCAGTCTAGTGCTCTAGTTAAAATTGAATGAAGTGAAAACTACCTTTTTCTAAATTGACCTTATCAAGTACATTATTTCTTCTTTGTTGTAATTTTAACATTGCATGTAATTAATTGAAGTCCTCATTTCTAAATGTTAATTTACCAAATTACCTCCACGAGACAGTTAAGAACTGGCTGCTAGGATATGTGATTGGGGACTAATTTTAGTGCTGCACAACTGCTAAGCGGAGGCAGGCGCGACATCAATAGCCTTCCCCTTGCTTCCCTTCCTTCAGCCCCTTGAAGCCGGCTTGCCATGAGAAGTAATTTGATAGTTTGGAAAATACCAACCTGACAGGACCAGTAAAAAAATGAAGGGACATTTACAGATAAAACAAGAAAAGCAATAGAAAACTTTATTTTAATGGTTTCAGAAGAAGTTTATTTACATGGAAAAACACACCACAAAACAGAAATTTACTGTACAGTGTACATGCTGCTGTCCACCCCTATGCCTAGCTGTAATCTATTACTCTGTATGCGTCTTTAGCTTGTATTTCTTGTGCTCACTCTTACCCACCATCCACAGCCTGGTTCACCCATGGGGCTGATCAATAACTCTGATTCTTCACTGGCCCCTCAGTACCCTCATGCTGTACCTATTACCTATAAAAGCTACCCCTCGCCAATAATGCTGTACTGTGATGGTAGCTGAATATTGTTTAACTGACATGAAGTGTAATGTGCTGTCTTTGAGAGTATTGTTCTTAGAGTGAGAGCTTTTTCAATCACTTTCTTGAATATTGGTATTTGTTAACATTAGACTGCTTACCTAGTCTGCCCCTTACTTTAAAGACAAGGCTGTATTTCCCAAGACTCCTGTGGATTCTTAGAGTATAACAACCTTAGAACATATAAAACATAGACAATCAAGGTTCTTATATAGTAAGCATGTTTATCCATGCTATCCATGACCTTTGATTAAATTCAATTGTGTTCATGTCAAAGACTTTTATGTACACAGAGGAAAATGTATAGTTTCTGTATCTAAATTCTAACTGTGGAAATTTCCCAGAATTATAAGAATAACTGAGATAAAAAAGAGTTAATAAAACATTTGTAGTAATTATTCACTGTTACCCCTCTTTCTGTAGTCTGTAACAGGAGCTAGTTTGATCCCATGTGAGCATGTTGGATGCACTGGGCTTAGCTGGTTGCTGTGGTATCCGGTTTGTCCAGTATAGCAGCAGTATCGACTCCCGTGAAGGCTGGGTCTCTCCTGTGAAATCTGTCTGCCTCCCCTGGCGTTCCCCAGTGGATCCACTGGTGCCAGCGCTCCTTGGTCAAGCCCACTGGGTGGAGCCACGGGGACACACCCGAGTGTTACGCAAATTCAGTCGAACCCATTAGCATCCTCGAGAGGGGTCACAGGGGCAAGGTGAGGACTGTCCAGTTTTCTGTGGTCTCCCTTACACAGATGGATTCCTGGATCCACACAAGTACTACAGCGGTTTAGTTCATCCAGCAGAGAGGACGCCAAGTGCAGAAAGGTGCAGAGTCTCATATCCCAAGCGGATAATAGCTCTGAACACCGTTCCCTGCTCCAAGACGTCAAACTCGAGTTTCAGATTTCAGTTAGACACATTCATGAATGTCTGCATACATTAAAGATTCATTGTATAGTAACTGCTTTTGTGTTTTATGGCAATGAAATAAGAAATTCGTTTTGAAAAGATCTGCAAAGTGCTGTATCTTCATGACATTTGGAATGAAAACTTGTCTGTGACTCAACGAGGCCTTTTTTGTAACCAATCTGTTCTTTCTCCGGTCCGCCCTCCAGGGGTCAGTCCATCATTTTTTAATTTACAGAATTTAAAATTTTTTTCATGTTTGTTACATAATTATTCATTTATATGCAGGAAGAAAGCTAAGAGAAATCCCCAGACGTAGGTGTGCATCCCCAGAAATGCTGCAATTGGAATTGATGTACAGCTCTCCCTAGAATTATAACACTAACGGTCACTTGTAATTCATTCAGCTGTGATGTCTGTACATTACTTTTTATTGTTCTTTAAACTGTAAACTGTAAATGTCTCATTTTAGAGTTATTTGGATGTTGAAGACATTATGATGGAGTGTGTAAAAATAAAATGATTTTTAATACATGCAGTTTGTGTGCATTACTAACCTTCATTAGTTTTGACAATTTGCTTTTGAAACCTAGAATACAAAACTGTTTGAGATTTTGATGTAGAAAATCTCTTGATGGACTGTTGCCCCTGCGGAGCTGCCTTGTTCCAGTGTTATAGCAGTGAGCAGCCTGAGCTCATCTTCCTCTGGCTCTGTTCAGAGCTGCGCTGGGAGCACCAGGACCATCTCCACAAGGCTGCTGGCATCTGTCCACAGCTGGAGTCTAACAATAGCAATCCTGTATGCTCACCAGGGGGAGACAAATATCATCCATCTTCTCCAGATGTATTGTTTGGAAAACTAACTGCTGTTGGCTTGACGTATAATTCCCAGTTGACCAAACAATAGGACCACCACTTCATGTGATTTATTGATTTAACATTTTTCCCTGCTTTATAAAACTGTTATTTAGATGTGTGATATTTAGAACAGAGTCCACTGTTCTCTTTACCATGCACAGACGTCTCTGTCTGACCTGTGTGCTGGAGGACAGACTGTATAATCTTCCACTCCAGTAGGGTTACTAGATTAAACCCACATATTTCAGGAGCAAACTTAGTTCAAGTGTCCACATTTGTGTTTGTACAAACTGGAAAACAAAAAGTCATAATAAATAATGAAAATTCAAACTTTTCAAGAACTTGTTTTATTACACGAAATTGTATTTTTACGCTGCCTCATATGATCAAGCAAATGTGTGTAGTACACTATTTTTTGTTTTGCACTTTCTCATTATTCCGTTATTTTATTTGCTGTACATCTTCCGTTAATAACATCTTACTTATTTAGTTGACATTAAGTAAATAATCTAAAATGATATAATAATAGCAGAAAACAAAATTAAAACATGATCAAAAATTAGAAGTAACATTATGTTGAGAAGGAAAACCCAATCATAGTCTCACATCATAGTAGTCGTACTAGATACAGAAATGCAGGTTCTTTAATTAATATCTAATATCTAATTTAAGAACATATTCATTTCATTCAGTTTAAAGTCATGTTGCCTCACAGGATGTTGGGAATTATGGAGCCATGTGACCCCCCTAAACACTTGTCCTTAACAGTCTGGACCACTCTAGCAACTCAGACTCATGGTATCCTGTCTAAAACACCTGAATAAAATAGTGAAATCAGGTTATCTTGGTCTTTCAGATTCCCTGTGGATAAGGCAAGATTACGCTGATAGCGTGGGAGGTTGGCGATTCTCAGAATCGTCCTTTTAGTGCTGCTGTTGCAGTTAAAATAGTTTGATTTCACATTAAATGTCAGAATATGTAAGGGAAGTTTATATAAATGTGACTCAAAAAGCAGAACATTTCTGAACCCTTATTACTGGTTATAATGAATCTGAATGGTACGGTAGCCGAGCTGCAGGTTTCGGCGGGGCTGATCCGGAGGTTTATACCCAGACTTCGGCCTGCTCCTCGGATCGGGGCTCCAGTCCCGGAACATCCGAATCGCAAACTCTGGCGCGGCCATCTGGCGCTTTCCAAGCCCGGGCACAGCTTCCCAGAGGGAAGTTTGAAACTTTGTTTTGTGAAATAGCCCAAGGGTCCGCGGTGTCGCTGTGGCTTTCCCATTGCTTTAAAAAAATTCAAGTTAGTTTCCATTTCAATGGCAGGGAGGCCTGCCTCTATTGGCAGTTTTCGAGTGCGGTTTGAAAAGAGAGTGCTGTAAAATATATTGATGTTGAAACCCCTCTCTATTGACAGGCTGCTAGGCGTGAACAATCTTCGGGCTAAAAAGACACTAGGCCAGTGCATGGCCAATCTAGCACAAAGAGGGTGAAACAGGCCAGAAAATACTATTCTCTTCCATTCAGTCCTATCAATCAGAGCTTAAAACCCCACCAGAACACAGAGGGAGGAGGGAGAATCTGCACAGGACAGAAAAAACGCCAAGCATTTCTTTTTCATTTATTTTGCAATAACCTCACTGCATGCAGTTGTGCCTCTTAAATTTATTCTTCGGTTTATCACTAAACATAAGCAGATTTGTTTCCCTGCGCTGTAATTTGGAGAAGCGCGTTGCAGATGTGTACTGTAGCCGTGGTATGCGTTTTGCCGGCTGCGGTGGCAGTGTGCTTCGCTAGCCTCAACTTAAGCAGCATTTTCTTTAACTGAATGAAGGAGGGGAGAAAGTTGAGGGAGACCACACAGGTTGTGGGTTTCATAAAATTTATAAACATTTGATCCTGTATGTGACGTCCAGATTGCCAGAAATGGAGTTGCTATGGGAATGAATCCCAGGGCTGACTCGCGGTCGGCAGCCAATCCTAGAGCGACTGTAAAGAAAAAAAGTTTTCCTTTTCTGTGTTTTGGGGAGGAGGGGAGTTTATGGGGGGAGGCTAAACGAAGCGTGAAGCATAACAGTGAGCGGGACAAAGCCGCAGGTACCGTGAAGAGAAAGGGCAGCAGCACAAGAAGAGCAGGACGTGCTTTGGTGAGAAACTGCACGATTTGCATCCCATAAAACCGAGACAAATTGATGTTTTCTGCTGATGACAGGAGCCGATTACGTGGACAAAGCCAAAAAGGAGGTGAAGTTGGGACTGCTTTTTCTTTAAAATGCAGAGATAAAGAGGCGTTTTGTTTTTATCGCTCTCTTTTGGGGAGGTTCTTATGACTGCGGAGCTACCGAATCCCTCCAGAATCTTTTTCTGGGAGTAATTCGCTGACTGGGTCTCTGTCCCCTTCACTCGCTGCTGGCTCTGCCGTGGTCCTGATCTTCCAGAGGGTGGGTGAAGGAATTCTCTCGGGCTTCACCGTAACGCGCTTTCTGCTCGATTTGTTTAAAAAGAGCGCGCGCAATGCAGCCAGTCGCAATGCTAATGGATGGGAATGTGTCGAGGATTTCTGAAATCAGGTTTAAATCGGCGCTGGAGGATTGAGCGGTAAATCGGAGTTACAGTACTGTGGGGCTTGTGGCTCTCAGCATGAAAACCTGGTGCAGCGCCTTGGCGCTTTTCGGGTGGATACTTGTAGCGCTAGATGCCCAGTTCGTCTGCTGGCAAGCTCTCCTCAGATGCCAGCAGGAGAAGGACTGTGAACTGGCGTATAACCAGTACCTGGCCGCCTGTGAAGCTAACATTAAAGGGAATAGGCGACAGTGCCCGAGTCACTGCATCAATGCCCTGATCAGGCTCAATCAGACACGTAATGGACCGGACCTGGAAACCTGTGAGTGCGGTCAGGACGCGCAGTGCCGGAGGGCGAAGAGAGCCATCGAGCCCTGTCTGCCGCGGAGGTACCCCGGCGATGCCGCCGGGATTGGGTGCACCGAAGCCCGCCAGCGCTGCGAGGACGAGCCGGGCTGTCAGTCCACCCTGACAGCCTACCTCTCCAACTGCGGGCAGCTGTTCAACGGCCGGAAGTGCACCGTGAAATGCAAGAGCACTATCCAGCAAATGCTGTATATACCCAGCGGGGTTCTTCTGAACCGCTGCGTCTGCGACGGCGTGGAGAGACCCTTCTGCGAGGTGGTGAAGGAAAACATGGGGAAGTTGTGCTCTGTCGGCGACCACGGGGTCTCCACGTCCTACGGCGACACGGACGATTTGTACGAGGACGAGGACTATGAGCTGAAGGTGGACAGGGAGGAAACGGACTCGGAGTCTGCAGGCTCCTTCTCCAGGTGCTCCCGGTCATCCCCTCTGCTTCCACTGCAGCTGTCACTGCTGCTGGCTTTGCGCTCGGCTGGAGTGTGCTAAGGACACGCAGGACGGGTCTTTCCAAATGTAACCTGTTCTCCGCGCACGGAGAGCGGGCTGCTGTACGCGCCTGGTGTGGGGACACAGTCGTGCCGGCTGGGATTACAGAAATTCCGAACAGAGGGAGAGGGGAGTGACGCGACCGCTTTATTTTCCGACACTGTTAAGGAATTATTGGAAAACAGGGAGTGTGTCCAGACTTGGGAATTAAGCAGGATTCACGGCATTTAGGATTGCCAGCACTGGGTCGGATAGAGCTGTCATGCTCCCGGAGCTTTTGGAATAAACTGCTTTTAAGCAGCTGAAGGATGGCAGCAATGTCTTGATGAGCTATCTCTGTACCGTTCTATCTCTCTATCTCTGATCGTTCACCTTGCACACGCTGAGGCTCGCTTCGGCCTCTAATGTGCAGGATAAAGAGAGTATAGCCCTATGTTCAATCATTATGTTACGATACAACTTCTAAAAGAAGTGAATGAAAACCTTAGAAGGGCTCCGAGCTGGAGAGGAGGATGCCAATTAACGGACGTGTTGCTCTGACAGCCAAATGAAACGGCGGCCTGTTTATTTTTCCTGTAGTGGCCTTTACTGTCGGAGCTTTATTAAGACTTTAGACAAACATTGGAGAGTTGACATTTCTGTTTGCTCTCCTTCTCTAGACACTCCAGTGCAGGGTATTGTGGTGATCACACTTCAAATATTTGTGGTGAACCACAAGAGAACAGGCAAGAGGGTTTGGGATCAAGTAGTTAAATTAACTGAAGTGCTTTCCAAAAGACCTCCTCCCCCCGCGTCCGCTCAGGCCTTTTTATTGAAAAACACCCATCATTGACAAGCCCCTCTCCTCCGCCCCCTTTCGTTTAGCTTCAGGAAGGGGGTTAACTGGAAGGCTGGCGGCCCGGCCGGGATGAGGGTGGGAAATTGTAGGCGCTATTGTTGTTGAAAGTTGGGATTCTGGAATATTTAGCCGAGGCCACAGCGCAGAGGACGCGAGCTTTCCCTGTGCCCTCCCCCATCTCTTTCCGAACGTGTCCTTTCAAAAACCTTAAAACTCATCGCCACTTTCATCTCCACGGAGAATTTAAACCTCCGCGCCGCAGACGTGACATTATGACACGGGCAGTGTGGCTTTGCAGGCCGGAAGACAGTGCTGTAAATAAGCCCACTGGACGAGTCGGGTAAACGGCCCTGGTGCTCTCAGAGGTACATCAATAATCGCAATGGTTATTTAAATCGACATATCAGTGCAAAAGAAGGCCAGTTGACAGAAACGGTTGCATTTACAATATCTAGAAAGCTATTTTCCTTAGGGGGCGTTACAGTTCTCAACAAAAATAATTGTAAGTGAGTCCATGGTATATTTATACCTTCAATAATAGCGTTTTCAAATAAAAAAAAAACGTGTACTTTTTGTACAGTCGTATTTGGCCTTCTGTCATTCCATATAGCATACCATGCATTTAAACCCATAAATGCATTTAAGATAAAGGTATTTTTATGTTTTATTTTTTTAATGAAGGATTTTCCTAATGAAGTTGTGATTGGTTTAACGTAATTTGTGAATGTGTACATTTGTACGTATCTTCGTCTACAAAATATTTTCTGTACAGACAAAAAGAGTTATTTATGTGTTATTGAGAGTAAATCAATAAAATTATGCTGTTAATAAATTGTGTTACAGGTTCTTTTTAATCCAGGTTAAAGAACTGGCTACATATTATGGTACACAAGTTAGTATAAACTACGTATGTCGTCTACTTTTATAGCAGGCTCTTGAGAGTCGAAAGTAACAGATTTTGGCGCTGCAGGTCGAGCTGAACTTAGAAACGGACTGCAGAAGATTAGCAATTAGTCACACTACCTCAAATGCTCTAATGAAGTAATTGTACACACATGCGCTTACCCCTTGAATTGTGAAATGGCATAACTGTCTTTTCGGTAAATACAGTAGGATGGTATTATAGAATCAGAATTGGAAAATCGGATTGATTTGCTAGAAAAGCGTAGCAGAATGTGCCATCTTGTTTTTATCAGAGCAGTACTCTAGAAAAATGAAATAATTCCCAAGTTGTGTTTTCAGTCCATACAGTCAGTGCTCTTTACTCCTGCTGTTCTCATACTTGTACTGTGAGCAATAAACTTCAGGCCCAGAACTGAATGATGAGTTTCTTTTTTAATTGAAAACTATGTTTTTTTTTTTAGATTTTTGAAAGTCCCAGGTTTTGATGGAGTATCTGTGTCTTCCTTCAATTCCTTGTGGTAACGTTATACTCCTGAGAGAAGGACCTGTGTTGTCCTGTCCTGTTAAGGCCATTGAAGGCCTTAACAGGCCTTCAATGGCCTGTTAATTGAAGGCTGACTCTTGAATGACTCTTGAATGACTCTTGAATTGAATGACTCTTGAATGATCAGAGTCATTAATAACGGAGTACAGCACCACACCAGAGAGAGCTGGACTGCAGACTTCAACCTCTACTTTCTCCCCAGCTTCTTGGACATCTTCAAAACAACAGCTCCCCAGAATCCAGGAAAGGGATTCAATTTCAGATTCTCTGCTATAATGTCGAGATAAGTGTGCTAGCTCATTTCCAGCATTAACACTGCCGTTGGCAGCTACTGCTACGGTTGAGAAATCAATCCCATTGATATTCATCAGAATAATTTAATATTTCATAGATAAAATATTGTAGCACTTTTGGGTTCACATGGGTATGCACCCTCACTGCTACATAGAGCCTGATTTCTCTATATTTGTTATTCTTAAGACATTCGAAGAAGCAGACATTGCTGTGTTCAGAAACCTATGTAATAGGCAAATATCATAAATTGATTTATCCCTTAAACAACAGAATTCCTAGTAAGTGGAGGACATATTAAGCTGCCATCACTTTCTTTTGATTTATCTGTAGTATTTTATAAAACAGGAGGCGGACATTTCTTCACAGAATATTTTTCTCTGCCCTAACCTCTATGGACAAGGTGTTCTCACCACTTTGAGACATTGTTTGAATCAATAGATTTTTCAGTCCACTTCCTTCTGGGAAATTAAACAGGACAGTTAGCAATGTCAGCTTTCCTGAAGACAGTGGTCAATCTCCAGGAAGATTTCTTACAAACCAATGACACGTCTGGTCATTCTCTCAGACAGTCATTCACCAATCAGTGAGTGAGACGGGGGTTTCCACACAGCAGGACATCAAGGGCTGAGCACAGCATCATGATGGGAGCTGGAATTCACAAGGTTATAGACCCCGGGACAGGCCAGGACTGCAGAAGCGGATGTTACCTCCCTGTAGGCACTGGTGTGAAACACACTGTACTTGTCACAGGGAAGAAGGAAGACCCTCATCCCCCCCAGCTGTTTTGAGGATACAACAGTGAGCCAAGCTGACCAAAATTGTTGATTCCAAACTGAGAACAAGAAGCATAATGGTTAATTCCATCTGAAGAAAAAAATAACTACAGCAGAGGTCTATGTCCTGACCACGGAGCTGGGTGGTCAAGGCTTGTTTTATCTTGAGCTCTAACACACGGACTGACTGTGCTTTACTGGCCCTGAAGTACTCCTTGTAAAGACTCTTCCCAGCTCTGAAGGCCTGATCGGTCTAGTGAGAACTGGCCTGAAAGCATCCTGGGACCTGCAAACCAAATCACTGTGGTGGTTTATAATGGCTATGCCCTTTACTGCGTGACAATGATCTGATACAGTACGCCAAAGTACAAACTCACCTTTTGAAAAATGTGATTTAAAACAGCGCGCGTTGCCCTGCAGCTCAGCCCTGGCCTGTAAATGCCAGTTTTGATGCTGCTGTAAAAGGGCACTTGTGCCTGTGGGGCAGCCTGGCACAGGGAGGCCGAAGGTGAGAGGGGTGCGATGTTTGTGTGTGGGAGCCCCTCTGACACTCTGCTGGCTGTCCCCAGCGCCGGGCAGGCGGGCTGAACTGGACACCCAGAGAGCTCCGGACGGGTTCTGGGAAAGCAGTCAAAACACACAGAGGAGCGGGAGCCAGGGGGTGTGGGGCTACAGTGGCGGCAGTGTCTTGGAGATTAAGGAAAAAAGAAAAAAACAGACCCCCGTCTTCATGCAAGCGCCTGTGAATGTGCGGGAGCACACTGGGGTACACAGAGGGGTGGCTTTGTTTCCCATCCGCACAATGTCCTATTCATGGATCTCCAGGCTGGCTGGGGGCGGGGGGGGTTCCCTCAAGGATTAACCCCCCCTCCCAGCTGCCTTATTAAGATGGCTGTTCTCAACCGGCCTCCATTCCTCTCCACGTAATTAACAATATCAACACTGTCGAGGGCCGGGAGAGAAAAGCTGGGCAGAAGAAAAGATTACAAGAGCTCTTGATGTGCTCACGATGAAATTGGGCCCAATTAAAAGTGCAGCCGTGCTGCTGGCTTTCATGTCACCGTGGTCCCGGCTGTGGATTTAGCTCAGACAGCACGGCTAGCCTCTCTGGGATCTACTGTATATTTAAGTGCTTGTGGAACTCGCCAGTCGACGGGATCAGACGTGGCCTCTGCTGGCGTGACAGGATGATTGCAGGGATACTCTTATGTGCCACGTGCTGAACAACCAAGACCTCTAGAAAACATATACCAAAGAAATTCAGCCAAATTCATTTGTTGTAAATGATGAAAACAGTTCTTAAACATTTAGAGAAGATTTTCTTAATATTTTATCTGTAGAAAACCAACCACTGCTGCTGCTTTTTTAATTCCCAGAAATGTTTAAGATACCATTGAAGGGGCTTTAGTTAACAGTTTTGAATGCTTGCCTTCCTGGAGGAAGACATGCAGCCTGTTAAGTGACCTGGAATTATCAGTTAAGGAATCTAGTTTGTTTTGGGAGTTAAACTTACGTTGTATTCGTCGTGGAGCTTTGGGTAGAGATTTAGATCAAGAACAGGCAGCCTGCTTTAGAACTTCAGACCACAAACAGCTGGCAGCCTTCTAGCTCTGAGGAGGGTTGATTCTCCAGGGTGGGATTCCATGTCTAATAGATGTTGTGCAACTGGTGTTCAAACTGGTGATCTGTGGCTTGTTCAGGAGAGCATGCTGGATGAATGTCAATAACCAGACCCAGACATTATCTGTAAAACCAACCACCTTGGTAACATGAATGCACCTGAGATGGATCCACAAGAACTGTAGGCATAATGAAAGCATAATGCCATTGCCAAGGAGATACTCACTCCTGACGTCAGAGCACGGATACAGGGAAGAGGACAGAGGGCCTGGTGTCAGGTTCTCCGAGGAAGTAAAATATTGCTGCCTGTGCAGTCCACCTCGCTCAACAGGTCTGCTCGGCTCCAGCTTCTGGTGGCTCAGCCCGGAAGTGGGAGCTGAAGGCAGCTGATCTTTGGGTCCAGACACCAGTCAGAGGAACTGTAATCAGTGCCAGAGCCACCAAAATCAGAGAAAAAACAACTGCTGGCCAGTTATTAGCTGGGACGGCGAGTCACAAACTGAGGTGGCCCCTAGTAAAAGCAGGTAAAGACCCGACTGTTTTTGTCCATTCTGGGTCAAATGACATTTGACATAAACAGCACACCTTCTACAAGAACCAAATTCAAAACCTTGGAAACAATTCTGGGAGACCAGCTGGTATCCAGTTATCTGTACAGAGGGATGGAGCCTAAATTAAATGAGCACTGGTTGCTAAAGGACAAGGATCCCTTCCCTCAGATGTTTAAAACACAAAATGACTGTTTCATCGGTATGAAATAAATGTACAATTCTTTGGAAAATGAAATAAAATGGACCTGTCAAAGAAAAAGAGGAATCCAACAGATTAAACAAGAAAAAAAGACATTTATTTTCCATTATACTGGCAATCAAATAAATATATAAACTGGCAATCAAATATATATTGAATCAGAGCAACATTTTTTTAAAAAACAAAAGCTACAATAACAGCAGTAATTATGATATAGATGTCTGGAACAAAGACCCTTTCCAGTTTCTGGGGATACATTTCAAGTATTGGTAAATAAAAGTCCCAAGTATCTTAATTCAGCATTTGCACAGACTGGCCGTCAGGAGCACTCGTATTACACACAGACCACAGCGAGGCACTGCTGGACTGTACAGTCCAGAGATCGAGAGTGCTGGCCATAATCACTTAGTCTTGTGACTGAATGGCTGTGATGTACAGCATCTCTCTGAATCTACTGTGCCAGCAATGTTGGGATTGTATGCTGCTGTTGGCATGATGAGAAGAATAAAGCTTCAGTATCGGTCCTTTTTGCTCATTCTGTGCCCAGTCCCCAGGAGTTTGTAAAAAATGTGTCATTCCATTGGATGAACCAGCCATGCTGCAGGACGAAACACCCTAAAACCACCTTTTCTCACAATGGTAGGTGTGTTGCAACTGGTTGCCAGAGACGTGCTATGGATCACACTTTCAGGGCTCCACATCTGCAATCCGCTGCAAGAGCTGAGACTGAGGGACTGAGGCACTGAGCCCCCTGTTCACAGAGCCTGTTTGTGCACTAGAATTCTTCACAGGTGCAACAGCAGCCCACTCTGCACTCCTACTCAACTTGCACTCGGCCAAGGGGGAAAAATGACACGGACCGAGAGCAAAACAGGCGTTTGTGAAAACAAAGGACTAAAACAGAGAGAAACAAACAAGGAAATCTTTAAAAATCTGAAATTTAACACATCATTCACTTTCATTGAAAAAGCAAAGAATACACAAATTATCAATAAGTGCAAAAAAACTCCACAAATTGTGTACTCGCAGGCTGATAAATCAACTCACTCAAGGGCATGCCTCCACAGCGAGCATGAACACCAGCAAGCTCTGGTTCTGGGAGTGGAAGGCTGCAGGAACACCAAGCCTGTCCTGGGAGACCCTGCTCCCCAGACACATCCGAGTCCTACATCACACGGAGCTGCTGGAGCTACTGCAGAGCGAGCCGCAGCCTGCAGAAGGACTGTCACTGAGCACAACCCAGGAAACGAATGGTGCAGAGTAGGTCTCATGGTGCAATTTAAAAACAAATAATTATTAAGAACTTATTTCAAAATATTTTCTGAGGCGATTCTCTCTCCATTCCTTAATATGAAAGTGTGCTCATTGATCAACTAATGCTTAATAACAATAATGTTGCACGTATGTGCAAGCTAACCATGCAGTTTCTTTACAGTTACAAACCAAGCTGTTGTTAACTACCTGAGCTCCAGTAAACTATAACACGACTGTTGATGCAGCTGTTGGTAGTGAACTTGAAACGTAAAAAGTTGTTCTGCTATGTGAAGGAAGACTCTACTGGTCTGGATTTGTTATAAAGTCAATTTTCTCCCAGGGCCCGAAGAGGGCAGAGAGACTTGAAGCCATCACAGTGTTTCCCGAGAGCACAGAGCACTGAATTCAGCAAAGCACGCAGTGAGCACACGTTTCCAGAGCTGAGAAGCAGCCTGTCCCCGAGCGATCAGGCTGGTGACACAGGATCTGTGCCCGTCCTGGCCGCGGAGCCGGCGGCGCTCAGGGGGGGCCAGAGGAGGAGGACGACGCTCTGTCCAGGCGTCAGTGACTGGGCCGGCCCGGACTCCAGCCCGCCCTCACACACAGCTCGTGTCACTGGCCAGGGTCACTGCAAACAGCAGGCTAGGAGAGAAAACCGCAATTTCAACGCAAAAACCTGCACGCAACACTTGTCTGTTTTTGTTACCCTCATCAATCGACCAGTGAAAATAAGACAGCATGAAGTATGATCGTATCACAGCTCTGGCCCTAGACAG